CTCTGTGGGCAGTTCATTCCAGAGGGAAGGCGCTCCCACAGAGACGGCTCTCCCCCTGGGGGTCACTAGCCGACACTGTCTGGCCAACGGCACCCTGAGGAGGCCAACTCTGTGGGATCGCACTGGACGGTGGGAGGCTACTAAAAGTTAAAGCTTTTAGCTTTAACCAGCAGGCCTAATAATATTGGTACCAACTGTTTTCCTTCTGAGTTGATCTGATTTGGCAGAGTTCACACCATGTTTAGAATTCAAATCAAGGAAGGTGACTAGATCAAAATTTAATTGAACCTAAGCTAGTCAGGATTTCTTTCAGGCTCACTGATTGTGTCTACTTTAAAGCATGGATAGGACTAGCCTACCCATAAAACAAACTAATCTTCAACACTATTTTAAGCATTGCTCCAGGAAAGGTGTTACTTACCATAGTTCATTGTCTTTTCTCAAAAAGTAGTTTTCTTACAAGATTTTGTTCATCTTTATTCATGAGGGGAGAGTGGCAAGAAAAATAATCTTACATATTATTCTGCCATCACTCACTGTGTTTTCAGATCAGCATAATTAGGATATTATAATTGGAATTACCAGGTTGCATTAAAAGATAATTGTTTCAGAAATTAAGAATCATAAGAGAAACAGTTTATAATTAAAACCTTGCCAATTTGTCAGTTATTGATATAATATAGAAAGAGCTCTGTTTGCTTCCAGAAATCTTAAAGCATTCGATTTTGGAAAATGATAAGGGAAACCATTAAATTTACATGAAATTTTAGATGTTAGTGAGCATCACAGTGAAATAAATTAGGGTTAGGGTTAGGAAATTCATTTCCTAAAAACTGGGTCAACATTTGTCCTTGTTAAGAGGAGCAGAAACAAGGATCAGAAGAAAAAAAAACATGCCCATTAGATTGCAACGAATTCAGTATTGGTTAGATGAAGAAAAAAGTTTGCTGCATTGGGAAATCATAGTACATTACAGTAAGGACGAACAAGATATCAGTTGAACCAACAGGTAGATTTTGGCATAAAAATAAAGTTTCTGGACAATATTCACCTAACAAATGATTTATGGAGGAATGCTTAGATGAAATTGTTTGTTTTACTACTAAATATGTGTTGAATATGTATTATTGTTATTGCTTTAATGTGACTTAATTAAAGTATAGTGCTTTGATATGACTTAATTAAATGCAATAGATTCATATTTCCATATCTTATAGGTCATCTCAATATCAAACAGAAGTAATTTGAGAGCACTGTTGACTGAAATAAGATCACACTGGACAAAATGTTTATGATCAGGATCATGGCTATGTATGTTGAAGGACTGAGAAAAAAAGTGAAGATGTTCCTTGCAAATTTATGATCAAAGCACAACTCTTTTGATCTCATTTCATGCAGAAGAGGGGTGCAGCTTTGACTGTGGGTTACAGCCACTGTGATAACTTTATACCCCCATCCCATGGACTCCTCTCATTATGAGGTTTCAAAATCAGAAACAAGTTTAGAAGTATTGACACAATAAATAGCATAAAACAGGAAACTGCAGGACCCAATGTCACAGAACAGAAAATGGTGCTTTTGCTTCTCTACTATTTCAAAGCAAGAAATACAGAAAAAGTATAACCTAGAACTGAAGACACTTTTAAAAAAAAATGTTATCTACCAGCAACCCACTATAAATGGTATATCAAAAAAGATATCGCTAGCAAAGCAGAAAAATCCCAGCCTTATTCAGGCATGCAATTTAGATTGTTTAAATGGTCTTGTTCATAGGGTACCTTTTTTAAAAAAACAGAGACGTTTTCTTTTATCAACATTGGCAAGCTGCTTAAACAAAGGAGATTCATCATTTAGACACTGCTGGGATCAAAGAGTCTGCTTATTCTGCTTTAGAACTGATTTGTGGTTTTAGGGATTCTATTTTAGTGTTTTGCTGCTTAGATATAGGGCTAGTCCAAAGCAATGTGGGATTCAAAAATTTTACTACTGATTCTGTGGGCGTGGCTTTGTGGGCATGTCAGGGGAAGGATATTGCAAAATCCCCATTTTCCCCCCACCCAACTAACATGCTTTCCAGCTCCGTTCTCCTGTTCAGGGCAACAACAACAAAAGATCAGCTGGGAGGCTGGGAGGCAGCAGGGGTAGTGCCAGCCTATTTACCGGTTCGCCAAACTACTCAAAATTTCCACTACCAATTCTGCACTTCTATCAGAAGTGGCTGAATACAACCTCTGGTCCAAAGGGTGGAGTAGACACAATAGAAAGTTATTGCATAGAGATGTCAATATGAGAAGGGAGAATATGAAAGCAATGAGTAGTTAAAAGTCATGAAACCTTTTTTGTTAAAAAAAAAATAACTTTCAACTTTTAAACAATGGAAGAAACTTTCCAGCTTATTTTTGCTTAGTTTAGTTTTCAGGATAATTTCTTTTTCGTTCTCTTGGTAGAAGGACGATGTTGAAGCATATATGTATAG